GCTTGATTGACTTTACAGGCTTAAAGCTGGTAATCTGAGCTTCTATTTAGAGAATAACAACACACCATATATTAACTTTAGGAGAGCTCTTTCTGAAGGTGGTAGCCATTGTTACTTCCCTATTGTCTCATTGTAAAGTCCTGTACCATTTTCATTGTTTTTTTTTTTGTTTCTTTGGTTTTATTCTATTTTGTTTTGTTTGATTTTATTTTATCTGAAGGCATGGGCAGCTATTTTGAGGATAACAAGATATGGTAGTCGTTACTGATTTCCTATTATCTTGTTTTGAAGTCCTGTATTGCTTTCATTTTTTTTCTGATTGGGCTTATTATGTTGTTTTGTTTGACTTTATGTCTCTTAGTATAAGCAGCTATTCTGAAGATAACAAGAAGCATTATGGTAGCCATTGTTGTTTTCCTATTACATTGTTTTGAAATCCTGTATCACTTTCTGTTTTGATTGGCTGTACTGTGTTTCATTTTGTTTGGTTTCATTCTCTTTAAAATAAATAAATAACACAAATAAATTCCACAAGAAAGGTGGCATTCACAAAGTGATGAGACACGGTAAGGCTTCCAGTCCTGACAAGGCCACCACACAGCCTACAAGAAAGAAAGATTAGAGTAGCCACAGAAAACAAAACAGTGGAAGCCATTAACAGCAGAACTCCAGCTAAAGCAATCTGTTCTCGGCAGTTATTTAAAAGCTAGCAACACTGAAACAAACAAGCTTTCAATGTAAGATTTGTCCATTCCTCTCAATGAATTCTGACTCATCTCAAAAAGATATGTATGCCCCATTATTTAAAGCTAAAAGGGCTTCTATAGTCCAGAGGAAATGGTCTCCCCAAATCATAAATGTAAACGTAATTTTGAATACAATGAAGATACTCCCTGAAAGATTTCAAGATGCTATGTGATCCAAGAAAACATTCTTTAGATAATCATATTTGCTGTTTAGACTGATTGTCCACATTCTCAACCCCTTATAAAATCTTCAATGTCTAATTCTGATGGCATCACTCCTTTTTTTGGGAAAACTACCTGCTGTGAAATTTGCCATATACCTGGATAGAATAAAAATTTGTCTTTCCTGTATTCCTTGAATACTGGGAAATTCTTTTTACTGTCTGCATTAGTATGCTGCCTCCAATGGCGTCTGATGATCTGTACGGGGACAAGCTCTCTTCTTGCTTCTTTTGGTCTTTCTCTACTCTGGTACTTATGTGTGGTTACTGCTACAAATTAGATAATGACCCTGGTTAGGGCAACATCCTGATGGGAACTGAAGGCCTCTGGGCTATGACCATGGCCAGCTTAGTTCATCACAATATGAGATAGGGAATGCTTTTGTACCCTTTCAGGAAATCTTACTTCCTATTTGCCACTGATGATCCCTGGGTAGGACCAATTTCAAGTGGGACTCAAAGGCAACAGGAAAAGAAGGATGGCCCACCATAGTCTGCAAGGCTAAAGGACCATTTTATCTTGCTTCAGGAACTCCCTCTCAGTGCACAATGCAGTTGGTGGAAACTTGACCACAGGGAAGTTGTGTATACTGTGAGAACACCCATGTAACTGCTGCTGGTCTCTGTCTTTCACCTCTCGCAGTTAGACTTCCTGATACAGAAGACTAGTGACTAGTTTTCCAACTCTCCAGGATGGTGAGTTTCCCTTTCATCTTTTGGGCATTCCGTGCATAAGATCAGTTCCCAGTTACTGCTAAATTTCTGGTCTATCCTGAGCTGATTAGTAGAGCATGGTGGAATTGTGCACCACAACAACATAGAGGCATTTTTAAATTGTTTTTGAGGCTCAGTTTCTCAAAAAGATGATCTACATTAGAGCTTGCCTTATGGGTTTTGAGATCCATCACACTTCAGAGACATCTTTTGGGTGGATGCTGCCTTTTGCATAGGAAGCCCATAGGACGGGCTTCGAGTTCTTTAACCTTTCTAACTCACTCTACAGATATATTCTTAAACATTGGTCCAAATTTACCTCTAAACTCTCAATAAAAATCTTCATTTTCCTATGTAACACAGTTCTCGGATCAAGATCTGTGGTCTGTTAGTGGTGCCCTAAGTTAAAACACCATCCTACAGTTAGAGCTTTTCTGCCACCATAAAAACGAAACAAAACAGAAACTCTAAAGTTTCTAACATTCAGTCCTTCATGACCTTGTCACAGAATCTCCAAGTATAGGATAACAATATGTGTGTTTTTCTAAATGCTTTCACAATATGCCTTTCACGGCCTACCTCCAAGGTCTCAAATTGATATGTTTAATGATCGTTGGCTCTTCTCCAATCCCAGTGACATTTTCAGTGCTCCCCCTTTATCCTTTGATGCTCATTCCTTCTCTAACTCTTACAGTGCAACTTTATAATGATAAAATAGCAAATATAAACAGTGCTCTGTCATGATTCCCCTAAAAATAAAATGCACTAGTTAATATTCTCCACCGAAAATTGTACCAATATTGTATATAAAATTGCCAAAGAGAAAAGCCAGTGTCTCCTGAGAATCTGCAGTGCCAGGTCTTGGGGGATCAACCAAGAAGTCAAGGATCCAGCCCTCCTGCTAAGCAGTGCAAGCCTACTGGTGTGCAGGCTGAAAATCAACCCCCACCCCCTTAGCAAATGATGGTTCCAAGGACAGCCTGAGTTGATTGCAACTAAAGTGATTACATAAAGTCACTAAATGCTTGTATTGTTTGGTTGATTATGCAGGCCTGGGGCCAGCAGTCTGAGTATCTCTTGGGAGGATGACAGTATGCAATATAGCAAATATGAGGAACTTCCTCCTTTTATCTTTGAAGTCTAATATTGTTTTCATTGTTTTGCTTTGTTCTAATTGCTTTGCTTTATTCAATATTCTGTTTTGATTGGTTTTATTGTGTTTTGTTTTTGGTTTGATTTTGCTATACCTGATGGAATGGACAACTATTGTGAAGATAACAAGATACACTATGGTAGCTATTATTATTTTCTCCATATCCTGCTCTGAAGTTCTGTACCACTTTTGCTGCATTGTCTTAATTGAATTTGTTTTCTCTTGCTTTGTGGTATTTTACTATCTTTAAAATAAAAAAAATTTAAAATATATAAAATTGCCAGTGTATCTAAAATGTGTACTTTTATTTAATGTGTTTTGATATAGTTGAACCCTAACTGTTATATTTTCATTAACTATAGTTTGTAGTTTACCTGAGGATTCACTCTTTGTGCTATACAGTTATAACTTTGTTTTTTTTGATTGTGTGTGTTTTTACGAGTGCATAGAGAAAGACAATCATTGTTATGGCATCATGCAGAATAATTTTCTGCCCTAATAATCTCCTTTGCTCTATTTATGTATCCCTTTCTTTTGACAACACCAAACCCTTAACTACCACTGATTTTAATATCACTATTATTTTGCTTTTCTGTAGGTTGTGATATCAATGAAATCATATTGTATGTAGCCCTCTCAAGCTGGGTCCTTAGTATAACCATGTTGCAGAATAGTTTATTCATGATAATTAAGTACATATACACATGTCCTATGACCCACTAACTCTGGGTATATAGTCCTCAGACTTTCTTCCATAAACATAATGGATGTACTTGTGCATAGTAGAATGTTTGTAACAGCATTGTTCATGATAGCAAAATGCTGAAGACAGATAGAAAAGAAAAATGATGTCTATATTTATTGCTGATAAATGTGATATATCCTCACAGTAGAATATATAGATGAATTTCACAAGAACAATGGTAAACAATGAGAACAATATGTAGCAGAATAAATCTAGTTTGTTTCATTTACCCAAAGTTCTGGAATAGACAAGAGTAAAGGATCAGTGCAGCCATGAAATAAGTTCAATGAAAAGTAAAGGAATATTAAAAATAGTCTTGACCCCAGGTAACTTTAAAAAGAAAGAAGAAGCCAGGCATGGTGGTGCATACCTGCAATCCCAGCACTTGGGAGGCTGAAGCAGAAGGATCACTATGAATTCGAGGCCAGCATTAGCTCCACAGTGGGTTCAAGGCCAGCCTGAACTGCATAGTGAAACCCTGTCTCAAGAAAAGAAAAGGAGGAGGAAGAGTAAGAGGAAGAGAAGAAGGAAGAAGATAAGGTGGATGAAGGATTGAAGCAGCTTCTGTTAATTTTATATTATTTAGGACCACAGAATTTTAAAAGGCTTTCTTTTAATATTGTTTTTTAAAGGTTATTTTAAGTCATCTAGTGACTCATAATTAAACTGTTTATATGTTACTAGGTTATTTTGTTTGTATATTAATATTTTTGAAAACAGTAAAACTACATTTCCAATTAAATAACTAAAAATGTTGTTAAATTTGAAAAATGTTCCAGTGGCTTATAAGACTCAGACCTTAACCTCACATACACTAATATTGAATTTCACTTCCATTAAATATTACTAACTTAAGAGCACATGGCTAGTTACTAAACCTTTCTTAAACATGAATTTCTTTCTGTAAGACAAGTACTACAATTAAAGGAAATAATGAATACAGAAATATCTGTTACAGTAAACAGCTCATAGCCATAATCTTTCATTGAACACAAAAACATCTCAAGGTCTAAAGAAAAACACTGCGCTGCTTGAGAAATGAATTGCTGTTTCTTAATGACTCTTCATGTGTTGATGTGGCACACTATTTTCAGTCCTGGATATAGCTTTTGTCTCTGCAAAACTGTCTTTTTGACCTTGTCTTGCAGAAATATTTTTATAAACAATTCTGTACATTGTCCTTTTTACATAGTGTCTTTGTCGTATGAATATGTTATAATTCTCTAGTCATCACTCGTAGACTTTTTTTAGTGAATGCTTTCCAGTCTTCATTATAGAAAACATTTTTTTTCTTTTTCAATGCAATAAAAAAAATTCCATACAGGCTCATGATTTTATTTTTAATCATGGATTAATGGATGACTGACAAGATCTAATATCCATTAATAGGAGAAAAAAAGCCCCTCATGCTGAAGTAGATTTCATCTACTGAGTAGATTTCTCAGAGCTCCTTTCATATCCCGATTCCTCAGACTGTAGATAAAAGGGTTCAGCATGGGTGTGACCACGTTATACAACACAGTCACAATGACATCTTTGTCCTTAGTGTTACTAGATGAAGGGAAAAAATAAATAGCAATAATTGCTCCATAGTAGAGAGAAACAACACAGAGGTGAGAACCACATGTGGACAAGGCTTTGCAGATTCCCTTGACTGAGGGAGCTTTCAGAATGGTGGCCCCAATGTGCCCATAAGACATCACAATGCATATAAATGGAAGGGTTATGACTATGGTTCCTGCTACGAGAATGACCATCTCATTGATGGTGGTGTCTGAACTAGACAGCTTGAGTAAGGCAGAGAGGTCACAGAAAAAGTGGTGGACAGTGTTGTCCCTAGAAAAAGAGAGGAAAGATAATAGAGCTGTATGCACAAGGGCATTGGTAATGGATAAGGCCCAGGACACAATTACTAGCAGGAAGCAGCATCTCTGGCTCATGATGGTGGTGTAGTGCAGGGGGTGACAGATGGCCACATACCTGTCATATGCCATCGAGGTGAGAAGGAAGCTGTCAAGAGCTGCAAACATTGCCAAAAAATATGACTGGGAAATGCACCCAGCGTATGAGATGGATTTACTATGAGTCAGCATATTCATGAGCATCTTTGGAACTGCCACTGATGAGAAAGAGATGTCAGTGAGAGCCAAGTGGCTGAGGAAGAAGTACATGGGAGTGTGGAGGTGGGAGTCCAGCCTGATGAGCAGGATAATGAGCAGGTTCCCCAGCACTGTGGTCAGGTACATGACCAGGAACAGGGCGTAGTACATGCCTTGTTCTTCCGGCTGGATGGGGAGCCCCAAAAGGATGAATTCAGACACGCTGCTCTGATTATCCCAGTTCATACTCAGCTCCCTTTCTCTCTCCGTCTTCCTCTTTCTCTCCCTTTCCTTCTCCTTCTCCTTCTCTTCTTCTTCTTCTTCTTCTTCTTCTTCTTCTTCTTCTTCTTCTTCTTCTTCTTCTTCTTCTTCTTCTTCCTTCTTCTTCCTCTTCCTCCTCTTCTTCTTTCTCTTCTGGTGCTGCTGCTGCTTCTACTTCTGCTTCCTCTTCATGGACATAAAAAGGGAGATGAAAACGTGAGAAAATGAGAAGCCATTGTAACTCTCCCATAATAGAAACCTGGTTTAGTAACAATCAGTATATGTATGTTAAAACAAACTGAATAGTCCACAAAATGAACTATTGGTGACATGGGATATTGTCTACCTAGAAAACAAATAAGTACCTTTGGAACAAGCTGTGAACGCATCACAATGGTTGTGAGATCACACCAAGTTATACTTCCTTTAAGAAAACTATATTTCTATTCAACATTTTTTCTTCTCTCATTTTTCTGAGAAAACATTCGTGTTATGGGAATAAAATGTGACTTACCAATTAACACATTGGGTATTTCTCAACTTAAACCAAATCATCATGTTCAAGTCCTTACAACTCCAGGATATTTCTCACTTTTGTAGTCATTTTTCAATTTTCAAAGGAAGCTTTTTTGTCTGTCTGGAAAAAACAAACTACGTCACCTGTTTTTATGATTCCTAACACAGATTTTATGCCAAGAATTTTAACTAGTTACTTTTGTCATATTTCTGACATATCCAGTGCAGCACTAATACTATCAACTTTCTCTCTCTCTTTCATGATATTTAGTCTTAGACAGACCCATATGAGGAACAAAGTAATAGATAACTACACACTCATTTGTGTCGGCAGAGATATAAACAGATTGTAGATTTTGGGAAGTATCGAAAACTGAGCAAAAGCAAAAAAAAGATTTTCTTACATGTCAGAAACTACCTGCCAAACCACATTGAAAGAATTTGCTTTTCACAGAAATTTTATTTTTCCTATCATCTCAAAATATGGATAACCAGTTCAAAATAAATTACTTTAATGGAGTTCTTTGCCATACTATGAGGTAAAGATAGGTACAATCCAGGGTTAAGGAGCACTCACTCAAAAACTCAAAAAAAAAAAAATATAAACTACACAAAATTACATACAATCAAAATACTTAGTGTAAATCCTACTCCTGCCTTGCCATGGCCCCTTAGATGACCCACACAGACACCTTCAGCATGGGAAACTTTTTCCGTTTCTCTCCGTAAGAAGCAGAGCACAGTGAACAAGTGTTGACCACAAAACTCAAAGTTCTGTTGCAAAGGGCAGAAGACTTATCAGTTCAGAATCTAACAAAGTAGATACACAGATGCATATTTGTTTACAGCTACTAAGAAACTGGTGTGAATTCTGATTTTAAATAGCATGTAGAAGACCTTGAGGGACCTCCCCAAACATAGGGCCCAAATTAGAGACAAACAGGAAAAAATTGCGTCACATTATTTGACTCTTGGGGGAAGAACTACTCACTGAAGCAGGCGTAAGGAAGTTCACTTTTAGAGGAGTAATATTGAATCCAAAAGGCAGTTATTACAAACACTTTGGTTTACAAAACTCCTTATCTTCTGAATTTACCTCGGGTAAAATATGGTTCAGTGCTCATAATAAACCAAGCTGAAGGTTAAGTATGACAACAAAAAATCTTTCGCTATTTGAAGTCCTATGCTATTTCAGGATCACCCCAGTATCTTCCCTCTGTGTGGACAAAGGAACGTATATCTCATCCTCGTCACTGGAGCTGGGGAATGAAGTTTGCTTTCTGTAAATCTCTGTTTCTGTCCCAAATGCTATGGTGTCAGCATTCTACTCATGCAAGACTCTCACAATATCATAAGACACTTCATTGTTTGTTTTCCACTCAGATTTTTATAAAAATTGATCTAAAATTTATTCCTTATATTTCCAGCTCCATTTCTTCAATGCTTGGCAGAAAATAAATACCATGCATTCATTACTGAAATGAAGATGAGTGAATATTTACAAGTGTTAATTGGTTATATTATGTTACATTCATCTGTAAGTGGAACAGCTATTTGTATGTAGAAATCATAGGAGACATTTGGACTTCAGAAATGTTTCCCGTGGATCAAACTGATCATCAGTTTCCCTGATCATAATGCTGTTTTTGACCTGCTTGTTTTCACAAAGGTCAATGGTTGACAAAACCTTCCTCCTTCCTAATCAGAAGAACATCATGGGCACATTCCTCTTCTGCTATATGTGTGGAGAGAAGAAAAAAATGTCAACACTCTGCAAGATTTCTCATTTGATGAAAGTGTACAAGGAATATCTCTTAGAATTAATAAATGACATTTTTACTTCTTCAGGAACAGACAGCATTTTCTAGAAGACTTGTGTTTATATTTTCTTGTCATTCAATGTTTTTCTTTCTTTCTGAATCCTATCAAAAAGTGCTAATGTAATAGCTTATAGTTAATAACACAAAGCACTCACATAAGCTGACACAATGAAATTGAAAAACAACTAAATAAAATTAATGAATAACCCAGAAAAAATCATTTCAAACAGGCTGTTCATGTACAAAAATAGTCAAACTCAGCAATAATCAGGGAAAAACATACTAAACCCTCTATAGGTTTCTGTTTCATATAAACATATGGGAAAATGTATTTTTGAGGATGCTCTTTGAAGAAAATATTGAGCGTTAACCAGGAGTCTTAATCATTTTAACTGTTTAAACAGTGGGAAATTATAACTGAACACTGAAAATGTGCATGAGCCAATCATTCCAATATCAGATTTACGCCTTCAAGACATTCTATTGATTATAACTTACAAGTATAAGCGTATATATGTAAGATATACACTATCTTTGAGGATATATATAATTACTACAGTCAAATTAATTAACAGATTCATCATTTTATATATTTGTTTAATTCATTGCTTAAAAATATTTTACAATAGTTTACATCAAAAATATCCTTTAAAAAATAATGTGCTTAAACATCAACTAGTGATTTCTTACTGTTTATTTTTTTCTCTGAATGTATGTATTATTTCTACCTATTTTCTGTTTTGTTTACTCTTTCTTTAAATAAAATTTTTTTAAAAAGTGCTTAGTATCTTACTCCTAGAGAGATTAAAAGAGTTAAGTGAACACTATTTAGAAAATTTTTTGATATTTCTATATGCTAATACATTTTTAAGTAAAAAATTGGCAGTGCTACATATAGTGTTTTAAAATCTTCTACTTCACTTCATGAAGTGTAGTGTATAGGTTTTAACCTCAATAATTTAATGTTGATGTCATGATTGCTTAAGGATACAATAAATGTGTATCTCTTGCCCTTATCCCCCCCATATTTCCCATTCTCCTCATCCCCTTTTTTACTTAATCATACCAATATTAATCTCCCTTCCACTTTCAAGTTCTCTTTTTTAGATGCCACATATTAGAGAAATCCTGTGATACTTTTCTTTCTGAGTTTGGATTATTTCACTTAACATGATCAGCTCCATATCCATACATTTTCCTGCCAATGATATAATTTAAGTTTTCTTAATGATTGAATAACACTTTATTATGTATGCATGTTGCATCTTCTTTATTCATTTATTTGCCAATAAACACCTTTGTTGGCCCCACATCCGAGCTGTTGTGTGACATAGTAAACATGAGTATGCAACTATCCCTGCGTGTACTCTTCAGCTATGTACAAATAATAGTACAGCCAGGTCATATGACAGTTCTATTTTTGATTCTTTGCAGAACTTCTATACTAATTTGCATAGTGACTGTTCAGATGTAATAATTTATATTCATGTTAGCAACACAGAAAAGTTCTTTTTTCTCAAATGCTTGCCAGAATTTATTATTTTCTGTGTCTTGACGAGAGCCATTTGTAGTGAGATGGAAGGTAGTTTCTACTTTCAGTTCCCTAATGGCTAAATATATTAAACTTTGTTTTATAAACTTATTTGAGTTGTTTCCAGGATTTAGCTATTCCTGCTGCTGTGCTTCTACAAACACAGGCGCAGATTTCCTTTTTGAAATTCAAAGACCCAGTTCAAATATGGGCATTTGAAATGAATGTGCACTTCTCAGGTGAAGAAACACAAGCAGAAAACAAATACTTGAAAAAATGTCCAACATTATTGGTTGTCTGAGAGATGCAAATTAAAACAGCACTGAGATTCCATCTCATCCAAGAAAGAATAGTAATCATCAAGAATTCAATCAATAACAATTGCTAGAGGGGCTGGAAAAGCAACCTTTCTCCTTTGTTGGTGGGAGTGTAGTCTGGTGTAACCACCATGGAAATCAGTGTGGAGATTCCTCAAATAATGAGGATTAGAAGTTACATTTAACCCAGCTATTTCCTTTCTTGGCATATACCTGGAAAAATTAAAAGCATCACACCACAGCAATATATGTGAACCTATGTTTGTAGCAGCACAATTTGCAGTAGTTAAATATTAGAAACAACCCAAATGCCCCTCAATCAGGGAACCGATAAAAAAAGATGTCGTCTTTTTATACTATGAGATATTACTCAGCCATAAAGAAAAATAAAACGCAAAATTTTTATAGATAAATGCATGCAATTTGAGATCATATAAGTGAAATAAATCATACTCACATGTGTAAACACTGTAGTCTTCCTGTTGTGAGAAGCTGAAAGAGTAAAAAATCCAAAATGCACAACAGATATTTGTACAATAGTATTTGTGAAATGGAAAGAAACTGTTCAAAAAGAAATAGGAGCTAGGATGGGTGAAAGAGGGAAGGAAGGAAAGGAAAAGGAAAAAATACTAGTTTGCTAGTTTCTCTTAGTTCATTGGGAAGAAGGTTTTTGCTAATATCATTGGGAGAATTTTTCATGCCCATGTCTTCTCCAACTTCTTTGAAGACAACAATATGCAATATATTAACTATTGTTATTCTGCTATTATTTTGTTTTGAAATTTTGGGGTTTTTTGTAAAGTAAATTTTAAAAAACATGGAAGCACATATATCATCGTTCTATGATGCTTTTAATTCTTTCAGGAGGATGTCAACAAGAGGAATAGCTGGATCAAATGTAACCTCCATCCCTAGATTTTTGAGATATTTACACACTCCACACAGAGTAATGGCACCAGTCTACACTTCCAATGACAATATCAAACACTGAAAACTTTGCCTCTAAAATAGAGAACAAGATGCTGTCCATTATCACCATTACTATTCAATATACTTCTGAAAACATTATCTAGAACAATTAGACAAGACAAAGAAAAAGAATAAAGATACAAAAGAATCCCCTGTTTTCTTATAGCAATTTCAAAGTTTGAACTCTTACATTTTAGAGTCTAATATACGTATTTGAAGTGGATTTTTGTGCAGAAAAACATTCAGGGTTTTAGTTTCAATTTTTTGTAAGTGGATATATGGTTTTCCCAACACTGTTTATTTAAAAGGCTCTCTTTACTCCTATGTATGTTTTTGTCTCCTTATACAAGGATAAG